ATATATATATATATATACATATACATATATATATATGTATATATATATATATATATAAACATATACACATATATATACATATACATATATGTATGTACATACACATATATTGTATACATAAATTATATACATATATATATGTATGATTGTACAGATATTAAAAAATAAAACTTTTCGTTAATTTTTATCGTTTCTTACATGCATATATATAAGTATATATATATATATATATATTGATATAACAATAGCTCTAATAACAATAGTTCAAATAATTCGCGATAAAAATTTAATATTATATAAATATATAAATATATAAATATGAACATATATAAATATAAATATAGATAATTTTATTATAACACAAAAATGAATAATATGATATTTAGTTACTGTATATAATGTAAGAAAGCTGGTCTTGTAAGATAAGGTGTTTTAATGTGCACATAGTTCGCGTCATTGTCAATAATCATATTATTACGATTAATAATAATTACAGTTTTTTACATTCTGCGTTTTATTATTCAACCGAATCTGCAAATCTGCATCCTTATCAACACACCGAGCAACTATTGCTCTCATTCTTTCTATTTGTATTTCAAACAAAACGTTATTAGTTCTGTGATGAGTTTTATATAAAACATGCTATAAAATACAATTAAATGGTACAAGTTTAAATTATTTGAAAAAAATTGTTATTTACTTGATATTTAAATGTTTTATACATGTATGACCGAATGTTTCGAAAATTCTTCATCTATAAATGCAGTAAAACACACATCACAGAAAAGTAAGGTAAGTAAATTTATTAGTTTCTAACTGCAATTTCTACTTTGGAATGTAGATAGTGAGAAGATTTATTAATGACAAGACAATGAAAAATTTGCATAGTTTAATTTAGTTAATTTATTTTTTATAGATTTAATATTTGTTTGTGTAAAATATTTTTTATTTTTTACATAGAGAACTTGGAAAAGAGAAAGGTTTAAAAGAGAGAGAATAAAATGTTCTGAAGTTCTTTCACATCTCATTTATTTCCTACACGTGTATTGTTAACGAACAAACTAATAAAGTTTACAATCTTAATGAAATCCAAAAAAAGAATTTCGCGCATTTAAAAAAACATTGAACATCATGTGCGAAGAAAAACGCAAAAATGGTTTATCCATAAAATCCTCCCCAACCTCTTCCATAGTATCCGCGGCCACCCCATCCTCCTCTCCAACCTCCCCAATAGCCTCTGCCATAGCCACCATATCCTCCCCAACCTCCGTAATATCTCCAAGGCCGTCTATATCTGAAATTAGTTGGAGAAGCAAAGAACTTTTAGCTTCTACATATATTTGTCTTTGTGTGAGTTATCTCATGTAATTTTTTATATAATTTATAAATTATATCGAAATGTCATTTGCACAATTGGATGAGATAACGTACAACATGATAAATTGTTTTCAATTAGTCGTAACTTAATTTAGAGCCGTATAGCTGATCAGAATGTGGTCATTTATGCACACAAGTAGTTAGAGCACACGTGCTGACGAAATTACGAGGAACGGTAACGTAGCGTGATTCAAGTCAAGAATAGTGATGAATGCGCGTTACGAATTAACAGATGTCACGACGAAGTACGATATTTCTTTTTTTAGAGATGTTTCTTCTTTATGAGCAACTTTACAAACATGTTTACGACAAAATTGTCTGTTATAAGCAGAGTTCGCATACAAAGTATATAAAATAAAACATAAATTGTAGAAGAACACGCGTTTTTACACATTTTTACCATAATTACATCAGCGTGATATGATATACGTATTTTCAATAATTAATAAATTATTATAAATAAAAATAATTAAAATAGAAATTCACATATTTATGTTTACGATCATTTGTTCAGTAGTTTCAAGTTGGTGTTAGCACTTACCCCCAGTACGTGGCATCTGCTTCTAAATCATTATTCCCATTTGCATCTGGTTGTGGTTCGATCTCACTTTGAGCATTTAATGGCTGATTTTCCTCATCCGCAACTGCGGAAAGTGCGAGGATGGCAAGCGCCACAAAAAGAAATATCTAAAATCAATTTGTCATATCGTCACATTCTAAAATTTACGCGATAAATCGCTAAAGTGTAACATTTGGATAACTCTGATTTCATTTATATATAAAATAAAGTTTATTTTATATATTTTTCTCGAGTGGAGATAAAAAAATCACACATTAAAAAATCACATAGAGGTTGAAAAATTCATGCGAACCCACTTACGAAATGGAATGGACGCAGCATATCTGTGGAACTGATTTCAATTCGAATCCACGGGCTTTATATATGCGGCCACGCACTCACTCACACGTGTTTTCAAGACTGTATATCTGTAGCTTTGCGCGCGCACGGATTCGAACGGAAAAAAATGCGCAATATAAGTTAAACAAGGAGGCGTGAGCATAAGATGCGTCGTACACAAAGAAGAACCGCAAATGGGAATGTCGGATGAATTTTCGAATTCTAAGATTCCAAGTAACCAACTCGCGTCGTCGCGACATGCGGTGTCGAGGACGTGATCGTTATAAAATTTGAGAGCGAACGTAATTGACCTTGCGAGTTTACGAAAGAGTATTTACAGTCCAGATATATTGATCTTTTATCTTTTTTACATAACCAGAATTTTGTTATCGAGGAATGTGTGTTTTATGTTAATATTCGCAAGAGTTAATTATTTTTAGCATCTTATTTCTCTCTAATATCTTCAACTATTTTTTGTATTTGATATAAAAATCTTGTCTCGAGTGATATACAAATAATGTTAAACGTACTTTTAATTAAATATACTTAATGAGTCATTAATTTGCACTAAAAAATTTAATTATTACGCATTCATCTAATCAAATCTAAGGTGTTCTTCTTAGTATGTTAGCACAAAAACAGTTCTAGGAACGCGCACTTTTCTTTCTTTTTTATTGCATTTTTTTGTATCTCGTTGCATTTTGGAAAGATCATTTAAGAGATAATGATCAATGTGATGAAGGACGTAGTTCTCAAAATATTATGCATTGTTTTTGTAAACAAAAAATATTCAAAGACCGCAAGAAATAGTTGGGCGTTTTGTAGCAGCTATCATCAGTTAAAATCATCAAGTTGTTGCGCAATTTCATCGTCACTGTCATCCAATTGTTTTTCGTTCTATTCATGCTCGCTATATTTCAATATATGTTAGTAATTATATTCGTTCGGACTTGCATTGCAATATATATATGTATATATATATATGTGTAACATGCCTTGTACGTAGCAGTTACATTGTTGAGTGGAAAATTATAACATTAATGTTACGTTACTGTTACTTTGTGTTTACTGGATATAAGATAAAAAAGAGTTTTCACGGGAAACTACATGTGATACTTCTATATATCGAAACATACATTTTAAGTTTATAATATTCAGATTATATATATATAATATTGATTGTATATATAAATAATATACAAATTGTATATAAATCTTGTGTCGTAATATTATGCAATTAATAACTTTAATTTATTGCTCTTAAAAAACGGTTTATATATTTTTGTACTTTATTTGTTAAGAGTAAAAGTACAATTCTTCTGCCTGCTTATAATTTTGTCTACTTTTTTCGAGAAAAATTCACAAAAAATCGGCTGAAATATTTATACGAGCCAACAAACTTCCATATTAAATATTTATTAATTGTTACATGGACGTCCAGAAGAGTAGTCCAATAGACTTTATGTCTACGTGGATAGTAACCATATTACAGTAATATTTAATACATGCAATTTATATGATGACATACATTTTTTTAAATTCTATTTACAGTTTTGTTACATACAATGACTGGACAGATTACTCATGTAGGTTACTTATTTAACCATTTAGTCTCTAACAGAGTTCACACGAAATATGTGAATCACACATAACAGATGGATTAGTGTTCGTATGTAAATAGTAATTAGTGTTTTGTATATGTAAATAGAAACAGTATATAGATTCTTTTAGAATGTGAATATGAAATGCAAGTCAGAGAGTGTCTCATAAGACGAGAGTGCACTTCTAACCAGTATCTATTAATTAGTGTCTGTCCGTCCATTTGCCGAGGTGATTCCCCGCGCGCGAGTTGTGATTATTAATTAATTCCATACATGGCATCTGATTCACACATACACACACACACACACACACACAAGTGTAGTGTTTTTTTCTATCATGAAATGATAGAAAGAATTTGAATATCTAATAGAAAAATGTAAATATTTATAAGTATGTACACGCGCATGTTGATCGCAGTATTATTTTCTCTGCAAGGAACAGAATATTTCTTCAAGTATATAAAAACACGCTTGGAAAGTGTAGCATCCTTATGCGGTTAGATATCCTTTTCGATCATTCCGGCTTACCTTAAAAAAAAATCGCGTTTCACATAGGAATCCCCGCGAGAGCGAAGAAAGAAGATTAAACAAGCGTTTTATACATAGCGTTACACATGTTGTTAAAATTCGAATTTTTAAGGGCGAGCGACCGGCTTACCTTGAGCACACTTATCGTCGTTGGTCTTCGTTGTTTTCGAGCACGTCGCCTCTGTCGATTTGCAAACCGGCGGAGACGGTGCGTAGTGACGTTGAGCAAAAGATATACGTCAACAGCCGATGCGCAGAGAGAAATCGTTGACCGCTGCTTTTTCGCTCAAGGTCAATTGTTATGTTTTTCCTCACTCGAAGGGACTTTCCAGAAGAGTCTAAAGACCCTAGTCCAAGCAACATCATTCGTCTTTGTTATCGTTTTTGTGCAGAATATACTTGGATGCTAAACTAAAAATAAGACCACAAATATTTTTGTTTTTTAATTGTGTAAACCCGTTCCAAGCGATAATACAGTACGAAAGAAGTAAAGAACGCACCTCAATGTACATGTACGTGTATCAATTAACTGTCTACTGTAATCTCCAGCATATAAAAAACTAATTTACGTAATTTTTTTACTAGATTTACTCTATTTGTATTATTGTTTTGGGTATCATTATACGAGATAAACTGTCAATTGAGAATAGAATACTTTGTATGTGATGTGTGTCAAATATATTTCGGTTAACGCGCGCAATATGATATGCATGTTATTACTCGGATACTTCGCGTACTTTATTGGCTGGAAAAAAATTCAAATTTTAAAGACCACTTTAATCACTTCAAAAGTGCCAATTTACTCTGTTTAAAAAATGTATCATTTATAAACTCAAATAAATTTTAATAAATCGTATAACCCGTTAGATTAATTGGTCACTGTGATTAGTCAATTTTGCGAACACTCGAATCGATGTCTTTTTATGGAAATAAGGAACAAGCGGAACTGTGAACTATCGAACGGTTGCGCGGGCAACGCAAACGAACTCCAAACAAACAAATTGAACAACTCATCGTTCGATTGCACGAAGAATTTGCACAGATATAAGAATTTTCACTTTATATTCGCTTGCGTGTATCATAAGATATAAAAATCGGAGAAATACATGAATTGCGAGTACAATGTACAAAGTAGATGCCGTAAGCACGCTGTGCGAAGCCGTGGAGCCCGGCGTTATAACTCGAAGTTTACTTGTTTCTTTGGCGATCGATCAGGGGCCGAAAAAAGAAGCAGGTAGATTGTTCCTTCAGGATGGAATTGAATTGGACAAGTTGAAGGAAATTCGCATTGAATTTCTTAGTAAGTTTAATTGTTTGTTTTTTTGTTTATATGATTATTGTATATATATATATTTCTATATATAGACATTTTTAGCAAAAAGAATGTGCACGAAAATGCAAATTTTAATGTCTATTTGACTTCCGTACATATTTATGTATACTTTGCAGATATTTTGAATATTGATTATCTCTGGCTATTAAAAACTCTGGTCAAATTGTCGCTGTCTTACAATGTTATCGAAAAAATCGAGAATTTGGATGAACTTATCAATTTGAAGGAATTGAATCTCTCATTTAATCGAATTAAAGTTATGGAGAATTTGAATAATTTAAGCCAACTGGAAATTCTTCTTTTATACAGCAATGAGATCTCTGTTGTAGAAAACATAGACAATTTAAAGAAGTTGACCATTTTAAATATTGGTAAAAACAAGATTGAAGACTGGGATCATGTACGTAAATATATATAACTGTAGCTTTTTTCGAAATTTCTTTATTACTTATACAAGGTCGTTATTGCAGATCAAATATTTGCGCAATTTTAAACTGCTTAAGAGTTTAAATACATGGGAAAATCCTTGCGCTGAAACGAACGGATATTTGGATTATCTCGTTGCATTTTTGCCACAATTACTTTATTATCAATACAAAATGATATCTGAAAGTACACGCCAGTCTGCTATTGATAAGCATTAGTTACTGTCTTAACATAGCAATAAGAAAAAATGATTTTTAAAAAATATCGCCTGTTTAAACAATATTTTACCTTTCTAGTCGTGTGATTAGTAATCTTGAAGAAGCCGAGGCAAAGACGCAAGAAGAAGCAGTATTACAACAGCAACTTGAACATAAAGTTTTAATGCTGTCTGCAGCATATGTAGAGTATCTTGATGAAGATCAACTTTTTCAACAAATGTTTTTAGCCGACGAAGGTATTTTATCTAATTAAGTACATATTTGTTTTTATTATTTAAACACAATAACATGAAAATTTATAAAAAAAAGGACTTTTATACTTAACAAAGTAATACACAGATATATCTGCAATATTTTTTATCAATTTCATTCTCAGACCTTTTTTCTATTATTATTAATTGTATATCAATTTACTATTTCATTCATTAGTTGGTACGAAATTATCCACAATAAATAAAAATATTCAGAATGAGTTTGAGAAGTACAAGAATTCTTTTACCACAATATGCCACAAATTATACGAGTTTGGTTTGGAAGAGCATGAAAAGAGAACTGAAGAAATAAGATTATTTAAATCTGCGGTTGATAAAGGCAAAGAAAATACACAAAACGAATCGAGAAGGTAAAACTTGAAATATCAGGATCATAAAGAAACAACACATATATAACAATAAATGTTTTACTTTGAATAAGGATTGTAGACGAAGTATTTGAAAAAAAGACTGAAATATTTGTAAACATGAAAGATGTAATAGAAACTCTGATAGAAGACCAAGAGGCAACAACCGACACTACTGACATCACTACGAAAGCAAGAAAAATATTTGCTGAATTTAACAATTTAATATCTAGAGCGCAGACGCAATTAATGGCTAAAGAAATCACATTACATGATCAGATAGAAGTATAACATACGAATATATTAATTTACAAAAAATATTATAGATAAGATTAATTAGATATAATTAGATCAAAAAATGATTATTTGTTTTGGGGAAGGAAAGGACATAAATAAAGTTTTCTGTATTAACATGACGGACATGATCAATTTGTTTCTGGAGACTGCTCGAGAACATTTTTCTCTATTACAAAACGCAGAGATTGAATATAATCATGTTATAAATGAACTGATTTTACATCATTCAAGTAGTATTGAAGATGAAGTGAAGATATCAGATAATCTGAAAGATTTGTATAGCGATAAAGATACTACAATTGCCATTCTTGCCGCTTCACACACTAAACGTCTACAAGTAAGTATTTACAACTTTGAATGCGCAAATTGTGCGTAAATATATAAATGAAAGAATAATTGATATTTACACAGGTTGTAAATGATCGGGAGAAGCGCATGATAAATCGACTTAGTAACTGGTTCAAAGACTACACCAACCAGTTAGTCGTGTAAGTTTATTTTGATATAATTTAATTTAGCTATTCTAAAACGCTCTGTGCGATAGAATTTTTTACGAAAGACTATACTGTTTTAATAACATTATAGGGATGAAAATAAAAGACATCGTCAGCAGATACTAGAAATATCACATTTTTTTGAATTTCAACGACAAGAATTTAATTCAATAGGCATACCGCAACACTTAGATCTAACAAACATCGATTTGAATACCGATGTTACGGTAGAAATTTAATACCTGATAGTTTATTTCTTACAATGAATAAAATTCAGAAAATGAGTGTGTTACACATATTTCTTACTATGTTAAAATATATATTCTCATAAGATATACTTTGTTACATACATATGTACACAAATATATAACAATCTGCTTACAAAAATGTTATTCTCCCAAATATCAAAAAAGATTTATATAAAAGTTTTATCATCAATTTATATTAAAATATCTCTATTACTGTTTTTGCTTCAAATATTTAATATATAGTTTAATACTAGCTTGTACTTGTGGTAACGTCGCATAATTTATAAAGTTCTTCAAATCTTCTTCTTTGTTTTCCTTCATGTACTTAATTAAATCACTTCGTATTTCTAACTTGGTTGCAGTTCTCCCCACATCTGTATTGTTAACATGTGATCAGTATAAAAACAACATTATCAACACACTTTTGAAACATAATATCAAAATATCATTAACCTGGTATATTATCATAAGACAATATGTATTTTTTGCATTTTTCAATTGCATCAGCCTTATCTTTAGCAAGTTCATCAACTAGACCAAGTTGCAAAGCTTTTTCAGGTTTAAACACCAATCCCCTGTAACAATAACGTCATTAATACTTATTATGCATATTTATTAATCTTGCTTACCTTAAAAGTGCCAGTTTGGCTTGTCGATAACCCAACAATGAAATGTACAGATCCTTGAACCATTTTGGAGCACGCATACCCAATTGCGTTTCGTTTAATCCTAGAGTGTGCTTTCCTTCGACAAAAACTCTATATTCTGTAGAAATTGCAAGAAAGCAACCTGCAGCAAGACTGGTACCCTATATGCAAAAAAAAAATGTTTCCACTCGTTACACAGATATGATATACACACATATGTAAAGTTTTATAGCTAACGTATTAATATTCTTAGGAAAAATTTTGTACATTTATAGCAGTAGCAACAGGAATACTAAGACTGTATAGAGTCAACTAAGTGTCCTGTAAAGTATGCCAGAAGTCTGTAAGTTTTTGTTTATCTTCTGTTTGCATTTCCATGATATCCAATCCTGCTGAGAATATGGTTGGTAAAGATGATGTCAGTACAACACCTTTGCTACGATTGCTTTGAGCTTCTAATAATGATGTTCTCAGTGAATTTAATAAATTGGTGTTCAAACTGTTAACAGGTGCTCTTGCCATTGATATAATGCTGATTCCTGAAAATTACCATATATATTTACAAAAGTATTACACAAGAACAGTTTTAATAAACAGAAGTGTATATTAAGTGTGTGTGCATACCTGTATCATTATCCTGCACAGTCTCAACAAGTTTTGACCCTGAAGAGTACAATCTGCGAAGATATACTTGTCTTGCAGGAATCAAAGTCTTTAAAATATTCATGTTGACTAACAAAATACAATTTTAGACAGCAAACTGAAGAATATTATATTAATTGCTGTAAACATATTAAATAAAATTTAGAACAGATACAGAATTATAAATAAATAGAATAATAATATACAAGTTATAATTGCTTAGTCCAACTTTTTCATTTTAAAATGGTTTACATAATCCTGCTCTGTTCAAACAATACAGAAACAAAACACAAATAATCAAGCAGATAAAGCATAATAAGAAATATACTCATCAGAGATATATATCCATCAATTTAATTTCTCTCTCTATACTCTTAAAAATATCACTCAAATTCTAAAGTTTCTCACCTCATCATGATTATCAAGTATTAATAAGGATTTGAATACATATTAATAACTGATTAAGAACATATGTATCTTAAATTCAAATGTTCAATTTATACAATTCTCGATATTTGTTGGAATACGTATATTTTATGTATTGTGCGTAATAATACTGTATATTTTCACAAAACTGAAAATATGCGTTTTCAGGCGTTTTTATTTGTAATAACTTCTACCGCTAATCGGTCGTTTGCGGAAAAACTAATGTTCTAACAGTGTTGCCAAGCCGTTTTGAAGACTTTGCTCTAATCCGAGTCATAAAACCCCCCAAAATCCCCTAAATTAAGAAATAAATCTCCCCACTTTTCCTCCAATAGTTCAAAATCGATACAATTGCCCGTTTTAATAGCATTAAGTAACAGTTAATAGTAAAAATAAAATATATGTATATATACGACTAGTGGAAAGAGTAAAAACAAAGACTGTATTTTTGAAAAACCACATTAAAATGAACAATTTGCTAACCGTGATAATTCTCTCTTTTTTTCTTTCTCTTTCTCTTTTTCTCCCACTGATAAATAAATATTACAAATTTTTTATAAATTTTATAACGTTAAATAAAAACTTATATTTATGTAATATTTTCCTTCTGTTAGAGAATAGTTGGCCTATTAGTAATAAAAATTCAAATATATAATAAAGCACTTAATATTTAAAAAAAAGAAACGCGAATAATAGAAGTTTAATAACTTTATGTGTACATAAAGGTTTTCCACATATAGTAATATATATACTACATGTAAAAATGTTAAAACAATATATATACTACATGTAAAAATGTTAAAACAAAATTTCTCTAAAGTTGCGTTTGAAATGAACGTTATTCTTTCTTTTTTATCTTAGTATATGTAAAATAGTGATAACATAGTGCTGATAACACGCTCTGACGAATAGAAAGCGCGCGCACGGTCTATAGAATTTCATGTAGTATTATATATATATATATATTGTATGAAATTCCATTAACATAACGCAGAGAATGGCATCGAATGAGGTATAATAGCAAAAGCAGTTCTAGACAATTTGAATCACGTTACGTTTTTGATGTCGCAGCGTACTGCGTATGAAAAAGTATCTTTACTTTTCATGCTTGTAACAAGTTAGTAACAATTCAATCATGTGATCTAAATTACACACACACACACACACACACATACACAACTAAGTTCATTCAACACAGTCTCTCTAGGAAATAGATAGTCACCTAAAAATTGATAATGATTACGCACGTTACATCGGTGAGATTTACTTGTGGACAATTTTACTTAATGTATGTGTGAAACTTTATAAAAGTATAAATAAGAGTGCGTATGGCGGCCGTAACGGTCGGTTGTGCGTAATTACGTTTAAGATACATTTTTGGACAAGTGCTAGTGTTCTACACTAGTTATCTCATCACAGACTAGTATATGCTCATATATGCTCCTCTCGCAAAAAGGTAAGCGCTAAAGCAAAGAAGAATAAAAGTATAAATCAAATGAAGTGTTTACCATTAGAAGCGTTGAATATTAGAAGTGATAATATTAGAAGATTACTACAAACAAAAATTATCCCCAATGTAAGTATATTAAACTCGAAAAACTTATCTTTTCAAAAAAAGATAACAACAGGCGCCAAGTACACGCACAACACGTATTGTATTTAAAGTTTTTAGTATGCAAGAAAAATGTAGTTTAGTTTACAAAAAAAATTCTTTCTTTATAAATCATGTTTTGTAATAAAATTAAATGCTACAAAATTCTTTCTCTAAAATTTTTATAACTGTCTTCAAAAACCTATTTTACAAAAGAAGTGATATCAAAAAGTAGCACCAAGTAAACTTTTACTATTTCTACATTTCTACAAAACCTACGCTACAAAAGAAGCGATATGTAAAAGTAGCACCAAGTACACTTGTATACATGTTAAATATTAGAAACATTATAAAAAAATAAAAAGTATAAAATCATTGTATCAATAGTTAGACTTTGCTTTTTGTGAAAAGTCGAAATATAAAAACTAATTAAGGCAAAAAAACTTGGCTGCACCTCAGTTAGTCAATAAAATGTGTTTATCATGAACGTGTGCATGAATCTGATGATAACTAATCAGTAATGTTTTATTAAATAACAATTTCTGTTCAAAAGCATTACTGTTTATACATATATACATAATATATACATAATAAAAGGTACTTGTTTTAATGTTAAAATATTAATAAAAATGTTGTAATTTTCATATTCTTTATTTAAACAAAGTATTATATATTTCAAGTAAATTATAACAAATTTTTTGTTTTCATGTACACATAGACTTAATTGTCTATGTAAAAATAAAACATTTATTTTATATAAATACTTTCAGAGAAATAGCATTGTTCTCTCTATAAACTAGACGAGGAAAAGTGAAAATCTTATCAAAAGTTTGCATTTGCTTAATATAAGAATTATTTCACATTTAGTGCAATGCTGACTGGTTTGGTTTTGATAGTCAAAGTTACGTATGTGATATATAAAATAAATTAAAAATAGCTCGCGCGCGCAGATAAAACACGTCTGTTGTAGTTTTCGGTGCAGCCACGCCAAGTTTTTTGCCTTAATTAGTTTTTATATTTCGACTTTTCACAAAAAGCAAAGTCTAACTATTGATACAATGATTTTATACTTTTTATTTTTTTATAATGTTTTTAATATTTAACATGTATACAAGTTTACTTGGTGCTACTTTTTGATATCACTTTTTTTGTAAAATAGGTTTTCGGAGACAGAACTCGTTATAAAAATTTTAGAGAAAGATTTTTGTAGTATTTAATTTTATTACAAAACATGATTTATAAAGAAAGAATTTTTTATTGTAAACTAAACTACATTTTTCTTGCATACTAAAAACTTTAAATATAATACGTGTTGTGCATGTACTTGGCGCCTGTTGTTACCTTTTTTTGAAAAGGTAAGTTTTTCGAGATATCACACATATTTTGTAGTTTATAGCACATAATACTTTGTATTTAAGAATGAGTTTTAATCACAACAAACAAATAAATAATAAAGTGTACAAAATAAAGTTATATTTAATATCTCTTTTTCTTTCTTACTTACTTGCTCGCTCGATGGTAGATAACGGTATGTACAAGCACGTTTGAAACAAAAAAATAAGGAACAGAAGCAAAACGTGTATGGGAGACGAGAGCGAGAGCGAGAGAAACAAAGAAAGCGAGCGAGTGAGAAAGAAAAAGAAAGAGAGGGAAAGAGAGAGAGAGAACGAGTAAATTTGAGTATATATATTATTTATGAACAAGCACCAAACACACAGCGAGCACAAACGTTCGGACATTCGCATTTGTGTTCTGAAGTCATTCGTTACAGTAGCGAACAGCATGTATGCGCATCCAAATCGCTCACGAAAATTTTCTCTGATGTACCGCCTTATGAAGGAATCAATCCGAATGTGAATCGAATATTCTGTTCGCATTTGTTTCAGCGTATATATTTGACGAATGATAGTAACGACCGTTCGCGTTTGCTGTTCGTCCGCTATGTGTAATGTGTACCCAGCTTAAGAGGGTACTGGATACCGACTATAGAGAGCTGTAAACCGACGTTTCTTTTTTCACGTTCTGAGTCGTATTTACTGCATCAAATTGAAAACTTTAGATCTACGTACTGGGATTCTTATGCGTTATCTGTCGTAAGCAATTAGCTTGTTAAATGAAGAAATTAATAGCTGTCATATTTTGACCGACCCAGTGGTCTCGCGGCCTGAGTGCAGGGGCTGCGAACCTGGAGGTCCCGAGTTCGAATCCACCTAAGGATTTTTTCCGGGCCGGTCCCCTTTCAACTGAGTTTATCGGTTGATTGGCGAACTTAATCGGGCCTCCAAAAAATTAATTCAGGTGTAATCCCAAATTAATTTCCCTCTCACAAGGCGATCGTAGTTATAACACCTTGAGCACGAGCCCGACATAGATAGGATAGTAGGTAAAAACTGCACATCCCTCCCCCCCCCCACATTCGTTCTGAGAATGTATATCTATAGACTGGCGTTTGCTCCTCTCTCGCAGGGGCGTGAGCCATATATGCAAAGAAGAAGAAGAAGCTGCCATATTTATAGCACTTTGATCGCATACGTTTGCTATTGGTTTAAATCCACATTTTAAAAGCATTGTCAACCACTTTTTAATGCACCTTACAAGCTGTGGTGTATTTGTTGTGTGTCTTGGCAAAATCCATATCCAACAGGCATGTGATTACCAGATGCAAGACATCTCATGTAAAACATTATGCATGATCTGCAAATTTTCTTGTTCGTCTCATACCCTAATCTTCGAAGCCAATAATTTTATCTGTTTTTGATTCGTAATAAATGGCAGGTTGTATTGACATTTCATCCTAAATTAACACACAGTATAGATCTTATTTTTAACTTCTTTTGCAAATAATTTAAGATATTTATAAATAATATAGTTGCATCCAGAATTTAAAGAAATATTTCTAATTTGAGTGTCTAAAGTAGTTGCAAAAGAACATAATAGATATTTTGATAGAAACTTATATGCAGAACGTGATCTGCGATAAATTTCAACACAAAACATTTTTTCTTCTATTGTGTAACGTCTGGTCTATTATACAAAAAAAAAAGAAAAAACTATTTACAAATTAATGAAATAAAAATGATATTAATTGATGAAATAAAAATGATATTAATATATACAGTCAAACCTCGATAACTCGAAACCTCTATAACTCGAAAACCTCTATAAGACGAAAATTTTGTTCATTTCCTTCCGCTCCGCGGAAAGGAAAAAGACACTTTGATAAGTCAAAACCTCTACAACTCAAAGATTTTGGCTCTTCCCTTGAGATTCGAGTTATCAAGGTTCGATTGTATTACAAATAATAAAAATTACTTTAATAAGTAATATTGATAAGTTTATATAATGTAAAAGTATGTAAGAAGTATAAAATAGAAAAAATGTAATATGATTTTAATAATAGAAATAATATATTATAATGATTAATGATAGCAAATAATAATAGTAAATAAAAATGATTAGTATAAATTGTATATTTACATGTACAGATTTTTAATGAAAAAATAAAAATGGAAAACAATGGATGAGAAAAGCATTAATTTATTAATGAATTTTTACATTTTACAATTATACCTGTGGCGCAATATTTCCTCATATTGTTCCTCAAAATCATGTTTATAAATTGTTGTACAGTCGCAGTTTTATCACTTCTGCCTTTTTTTATTTATTCTTTTTATTATTTATTATTTTTGATGACATTTGTTGTTTAGCTTGATAAACAACAAATCGTTTTTTTAAGTTTTTTCTGTTTTTAATTTTACAACTTTTTCATAGAATTTCTTGGCTTTTGGGGACAATAAAATGTTTTTTGCTTGTTTCACCAAGATCAGGTCTTGCATGTCTTGGACTTTGTTGGATTGTGATTGTATTTTTTAACTGTTGTGTATGTTGTTTTGCTAACTCTACCTGATGTAATATCTGTTCTTGATGCTGTTGCAGTATTATTCTTTGCTCTGCCAATTCTTGCTGCTGCTTTTCCATCTGATGTAATATCTGTTCTTGATGCTGTTGAAATATTATTCTTTGCTCTGCCAATTCTTGCTGCTGCTTTTCTATCTGATGTAATATCTGTTCTTGATGCTGTTGCACTATCATTTCTTGCTCTGCCAATTCTTGCTGCTGCTTTTCTACCTGATGTAATATCTGTTCTTGATGCTGTTGTAGTATTATTCTTTGCTCTGCCAATTCTTGCTGCTGCTTTTCTACCTGATGTAATATCTGTTCTTGATGATGTTGAAGTATTATTCTTTGCTCTGCCAATTCTTGTTGCTGCTTTTTTATCTGATGTAATATCTGTTCTTGATGCTGTTGCAGTATCATTTCTTGCTCTGCCAATTTTTGCTGCTGCTCTGTCTGTTGTAATATCTGTTCTTCATGCTGTTGCGGTACTATTTCTTGCTCTTTCAATTCTTCCTGCTGCTTCTTCAGTTGTTGTTGTTCAACAGGTTTTGTAGTTTCATCTGATGGAATATGTGTCGGAATTGCAGTGCTTTTTAAAACACGTCTTGTTGGGGCACAACTATAATCTTTGTTACAAAAATGTTTGTAGCACACTCGCCACTTTTGAATTTCACGTTCTTCTACTTGCTGTATATGTAAATTTTCTAACCACAACTTGCGACGTTCAGGATTTTTTGGGAATGAATGGGATGGTACATTATTCCCAGATTTACAAGTAGAAACGCAACATCCTCTTACCATCTTTTATGTTTATTAAAATATAACAAAACTGAGTGAGTTAACAACTGCACAATGTAGTCGCGTGTAACGGTCCATAGACATATAAAGTATAGACTGGAAATTGCGAGGTATTCACTTCGCGACGCGTCGTAGACTACTTCGTGTGAATTCG